GAAGCGACATCTCTAGAAGGTTATTTACAAAACGACATTGCACAACGCAATGGAATTTGCGTGTTGAAGTAGGGAGGTAGTGGCGACAGTGATATGATATCCACAATTCGTGACGCAACGCCTCCGTCTAGTCCATCAAGCCAGATGAGGGTCCTGGTGAGCGCAAATATTTATTAAATCTGTAATGGAAGCGCCCCGAAATATGAACCACTTAAAAGAGGATGAGAACTTGCGTTACACTGGAACAGTTAGTACTTCCACACCGTCGACTCCTCATTTTCATAAAGATCGCGCTACCAACGTGCCGAGTACATAGAGATGATGTGTGCAATGTCACAACAAGTAAAGGCGTCGCTATTGCAAATACGCTGCTTTGCTGCAGCAAACATTTTCTAGTAGGTTTAACAAAAATGGGAAAGTAGCCAGCTCGTGAAAAGGTGCTTTCTACACTAAATAGTAAATGGTAATAGTATAATCGCAATTTTTCTTATTGCCTACTCTTTTTAATGGCAGGGTATGTTGCGAAATATAACTTCAATGGTGCTGAGATGTTTGCAAAACTCCGGACAGCGGATGTGTGCGATGGAGAACGAACGCGCTCATCACCACACCATGCATGTCCTTCGTTTCGCCTGTCTCTCAGTTCTATTGATCAGTGCCATCAGCAGTCAGGCTGGTGATTGCTGTTGGCAAAAGATCGATAAGACTAGCTGAGAGACAGCCGGAACGAAGGGCCCGTATGGTGCAGTGGTGAACGCGTTAGCTCCCGGATAGGGTATTAGCGCGTTCGCTCCCCACGGCGGATACCTGTTGTCCGGGGTTTTGCAAATTTCTCAGCATCATTGAGGTAATGGTATAAGTTTTCGCATTGGAAGAGTAAAAAAGAAATAAGAGAAATCCGTGTGAACACATTTCCCAATGTCCATCTCTATGCAGACTGTTCATTTTTTTAAAACTTGTCATACATCATCACTCATTGCGAAGGACATAGCATCGTACTCAAGAAGTTGTATATTCTGCGGTTGCACAGTGTGCGCACATTGTGACTGAAGAAAGCGGTGAGCACTTGCTTAAAAGAAAGGTTGAGCTTTAAGCTTATGCGATCTAGAGAGCAACTGACAAAATTTTCTATTCGCTGACGAAAAAACGGGCATTTATCACTTCTGACATTCTTGAATCTGCTGACGTTGCAATTTTTTATAGAAAATGTTGCAGTTTAAGAACTTTTGAGTGTTGTAAACCACTTATTATAAAAGCGAAATTATTGGTTTCATTGTGGTGTTTTAGAAACCTCTAATTGGTCGGTCAGTATTTAATAACATTTCCACTATCAGCGCAAATTACTCCACAATTTGGGCCGACTCGGAGGTTTTTCAACTATACTCAATATCTATTTAATAAAACTAAAACGACATTGGTTTTTCAAATTTTGTCTTCGACTGTGGATCTGTTTGACAAAATGCTTTACCCACCTTTAACATAAGAAAGGTATTTTCTGCAATTTGGGCATAAATGTTAAGGAAGTATGCGATGTAACGAAGTTGTTATCCATTCCCATTTCTTCGTGCAGATATTTGTTTTATTATAAAAGTAGTTTAGAGCACGATAATTTTCAGAGGAAGTAAATTCATAGATAGCTCTTGGCGCTCAAATACATCATAATCGTGTTTGAGGGCTTTTTCCCTTCTTTTTTTCGAGCAAATCTCCATTCAATCCACAATTAAGGCGAAGGGGCGAAGACCTGGGATAAACGGCTATCGTTGAATTCTGGAAAGACAAGGTTCGACCTGATTTAACACAGCAACAGTGTGAGAGGATAATGGGTCCTCAAAGCAGCACTACTCATCATCCCGACCACTCTGCGGAATACCACTGCAAGGAGGTGTAACCAATATATGGAATGTCCACTCTTTCACAACATCTCACGAAGAATCCTCTATGTAAATATGCCAGTGAAAGGGCGTTTATGCATGTTTGAACCCAAAAAATTCTGTGCTACCGAATTCATCCTATAATGTATAGGTTCCTTCCAGTAGTTTGCAGCCTCATCTTAGCTAGTGAGTATTGCAGTATGTTTTATGTGCGTTTCTTCAGTGGTGCTCAGTAGAGGTGGGTTCGTCTATCAGAGGATTACCCAAGTCGAAAAGGCGGTCGGTATTTCTGTTTCGGAGCTGGACTGAGATTAATCCTATGCTACTGCGGGCTATCATGAGCCATGTGTAACTATCTTTTTGCGAAGAACAATAGAATGGGAACAATGCTAAATGTGAAACGGTATTCTTCTTAATGAGAGTGAAAAATATTTGCGAGGCTGTAGTGCACGAAAAGCAGGTAAATTTAAGTTATGTTCCCCTCAAACTTCAGATCCCACGCTTTCAGAAATGGTTTTTACCTTTAGGATCGGGATGGACTATTCATATACATTATTTGCTACTTCACAGAATTCCCCCTCTCTTAATACTACCGTTTTTTCTATATCAGTCGTATATCGTTCCGGTTACTCTTCTCATTCTGCTGTATTACGAAGTCGTTCTGTTTTCATTAGCTGAAAGCGCTCGCTAACACCTCTATCATGTTCTTTCTTCACAGGTGGTTGGATAGCTCTTTATAATGTTTTTATATGCCAACAACTACAAGCATGTAAAGCCACTGATTGGAAAGTAGAAATGTGCATTGTAATGACATATTGCTTCAGATCGTCTATACAACTTGCCATTAGCTTGTAAAATAGATTGTGTTCTCTTCTTCCACCTTTTACCCTTACTCCTCTCCTGTTTTTCACAAACACCACTAATCGTAATGTAAGGACTCGTTGTTCTGCACCACTGATCTATTGAAATCATTGCTTGCTTCTTCTGTGTTTCTCTCTGCATTTGTTACCAGGTACCGCACCTGCACTGAATTTTATGTACGTTTCTTCAGTGGTGAAAGTTGCCCCGCAAAGCTTTTTTACAGCACTTTTTGTGCTCAATCGATAGCTTGCTCAGCACATGCTTTGTCAAGTGTGGCTGACAAAAATCTGTCCGTTTAATTTTAAAAAAATCTTTTAGATGAGTTAATATTACGACAAGAGACTATTACTGCCGCAGAGAGCATGCAGAATAGAGATTGGACCGCTGAAGAGGTGTAGAAATGTCCCCACCTGGGCACGGAGTTTCAATGCATAGGAAAAGCTTTTTGCTAAGATAAGATTTAAACGGACAGTCACTAAGGAGATTGGTGCAAAGTCACACAATGTTCATAGAAAATGCGATCATCAATAGAATTCAACAGCCTGCGTTTAAAAACAGTCATCAAATCTATATATCCTTCATATAATTAACACTGTTTACATACACCTTCTGTTGTTGCCTACTATCAATAATCTTACTTTCAATTATTTTGCGTTTTCATGAACTGCGCGGGATGTTGTTCCGTAAACTGTGCACAGCGTAGTAATATACTTTTTTATCTTTCCTATCCTTTCTACGTCATCACACCTCTCCGATTCTCTTGGCATATCAGTTGTTCTCCATACAGCTTCCGACGAATGATTTACTTGAGAAGTCACTACCTGTTTTTCCTTCAACTTTCAATTATATGAGTGCTTCTCCGCTGTGAGCCTCTTTCAAAAGAAGACTCGTTTCCCAACTATCGGTGTATAGATGCCTTCATGCAGCAAATCGTACATGGGCTGCATAACAGTTCTGTGCCCAACACATCCAGCTAAGCAAAGGTCTCTACCAGGTACACAAAACTTTGCAGTTGTAACTACCTATCGAGCGCAGTTTTAAAAAACTTGGGTCCGTATTCGTGTGTCTTATATGGAATATAGTGGTGGAGGGCACCCTACCTCAAAGCGACACGAGGCTACCAGCTACGAAATAGCAGTCATAAAAAATTCATAGGAATTTCACTTTAACCACCGAAGTGGGCTTTATGAATGTGGAACAGACTGACTGTGACCGAAGAACCAGAGATTGTGAGACGCTACATTGCACGAGCACTCACCACGAAGTTCATCAACACTTTCACCTTCATTGAATCGCTTTCTTCAGTGTCTACGATGAGAACCGTAGTAGGCTCTGCAGTACTTTCGTAATCTCTAGATTCCTCATTATTACTCTCTATGAGGAGTCGACTAAGATCGAAGTTAAAGCCTTCGGCAGCGGATATGGTTTAATGTAATAATACTGAATTCTTGATAAGGAAAAATAAGGGAAAACGACCAGCAATGAAGCTAATTATAAGGCATTCATGGCATCACTATAAAGAGACTAGAAGAAGATAAAAAGAAACAAATAGAGGAAACTAAATAGAAAAGTGTGGAATGACGATCGCCTCACATGGTAAAGAATGAAGGCTCGTGAACTCAAACTCTCTAAAATAGGAGCGTTGGAGCAGTGACTACAATGTCTCTGATACAGGTGCAGAAAATCCCATCAATTCATTGACGTTGCTAATATTTGAACCTATTGAACGATGCCACAGATCTGCCTCATAGAGGAATCTCCTACTGCTTAGTCGCGAGGCAACGCTGCTCGTCCCCAAGTGGCGGACAGGGAATAATAGCCGACCAAAAGCAAGCTCTGCTTCACAGAGATGCACATGGATCCAGCCGATGGAGTCCTGTTTCTGCTGCACCGATTTGGCACATATCTTCTGTATTTGCGAAGGCGTATTGATGCATGCGCACTGAATGCGTTCTCGTTTACGCGGATAGTACTCTACGAGTTAACTCAGCCAAAAGCCTGCAATCAAGTGACTGGGAAGTATATGGGAGACGGTTAGGAGTCGCTTCCAACAAATAAACTTTATGTCTACTCTGTGAGAGACTGGTAAGCTACCTGTGAGTACAATCAGCCTCTATGATCAGAACTCAGCAAGTTATATATGAGCATCAAAAAGCTAAAAATAGTAAAATAAACAGACCTCATTCTCCAAAAAGAGTCCCGGTTTGGCAGCATTGGGTAGGACGAGAACAGAGAGACTGCTTAAATTTCCGTCTCATTCTAAGATGCCTAAATCGCCAAGGACAATGGTGAGTGACCTACAATGCACGCACATTTGCATCTAAGTTCTCGATAAAAGATTTTATCGCGCAGACAAGAAGGATAAGGTACGGCGTCATCGAACTGATCGAGATGAGACGACGCCACCTTCGAACAAATAGCAAACCGATTCGGGCGTTCACTATTGAAGAAATGTGGATCAATACCAGTTATGACAATCTTCGGCATTTTCGCACCGACATCAACTTATGATGAAGACGAAGTCGAAACGTTTTATATACACTTAGAGAAGTTCTACAGAGAGGACCATACATTCTTTAAGGTCAGCATTGGAGATTTTAACGCTAAGATTATACCAAGAATAACGTCTGAAGAACGTTACCTTAGGACTCACGGATTAGAATGGAGTGAGCAGGATGAGCAGCTGTCTAAGCTTATCATGACGGCCTAGACCATCCATGGTAACGAGCATTTCCAGAAGTCTCACCCTCAACGCTAGACGTGGGAGTCTTTCAGTGGAGTGTAAGTGTACTATAAAGAGAAAAACCACATCGTAGTAAATAGAAGGTTTTGCCAAAACAATGTTGCTGTTATCTTAAAATTCTACACGAGATCAGATCACCGCCTCCTTCGTGTAAGATTTCGTTTCGTGCTGAAAGAAGAAGAAGCAGCTAAATTCAAAAAATAAAGTTCCAAAACCATCAGAAAGTGGGATTTATTCAATTAATTGGAAACTGTTGTCTGTTGTGTGACGTGTGGCTGACACTGTCTGAAGTCTACTGTTGGAAAGATGCCATCTCGATAACATTGACGAAGAATACGATCAGCTCATTCAACAACCTAATATTAGCGCTATGAAAGCTAAGAGTTCGAAAGTAACGAAGAGAAATATTTCTGCAGAAACAATCGAGCTGATACACCAGCGTGGAGTCGCACGAGCTTCAGGCAACCGGCATCTCACGCCTGATCTTTGCAAAACAATGCAGACAGGCGATGAAATAAGATCTTAAAGAGGCAGAAGCCGCAGTTATAGTTTAAGTACCAGAGGCAAGAAAAGCATTCACAATGCTTTCGAAGATTTGAAAATTACAAAACCAAGATGATTGTACCCCGATGCCCAGACGGAACAGTTACGGCGTCTAGAAAGCAATGGAGAAAATTATTTACGAATACTACTCAGATCGATTCGATAAAAACGTCTTTCTACCCTCATATGAAATAAAGAAGGATTGATATGTTGCACCACCGGTTCTCCCTTCCGAAATCCGACATGCCATTTCGTCGGTGGAAAATCGAACAGCTCCAGGTCCGGACAGGATAATACCAGAACACCTGAGGAACCCTTCGCCGATGCTCATAAACCCACTGGCTCCGCTCCTCAAACGTTGTCAGTTTGAATGGAAATTCGCTACTCCGTAGAATACGTGCAAGACCATGCTGGTGTTCAAGAGCGGTGACCTCCACAGTATGGGAAACTATCGCCCAATCTGCTTGCTGTCTGTCGTCTACAAACTTTTCACTCGAGCCGTTCCAAGCAGGATTGATAGAACACTGGTCGAAGGACGTCCATTTGAGTAACCTAGGTTTCGAAAAGCATTTAGTACGATGGATCACATCCACGCGATAACAAGACTTACTGAAGTATCGCGAAAGTACAAAAGAGCGCTCTATCTCATCCTCATCGATTTGGAGAAGGCTTTTGACTCAATGCTAGCTTTTTATTTACTGCCTACTACAACCGCCACGACAGGGTATTATGCGAAATCAACCACAGTGATGCTGAGATATTTGCAAAAATCTGTATGGCAGGCGTCTGTTGTATGGAATGAACACTCTATTACCTTCTCCGGAGGCTAACGCGTTCATCACCACACTATAGGAGTTGCTAGTGGAAATTAGCTCTTCGAGTCAGTTCTCGGCACCTTATGATCACTAGCTTTGAGTAGGATGTTTGACTTCGTAAAAGTTACCATGAGGGACTTTTTCGTACTTTTCGCAAAGCAATATCTCAAACTTGGGTAAATAAACCGTTTATAACAATAATAATTTAAGAGTAACGAAATGTAAGCTTTGGTAGAATACAGAGCGCAATATTGTATCATGATCAGTAAATGAGGGTAATGCGGGTCAGTATCTTTGCTATAGGTACAGAGCTACATGACAGCAATGTTAATATACAACAGTTACCACATACAACAACAAAAAACACCTTGGATTGACTACAAAGAGCATTACACATCATGAGCAGCGAGCGAATACGGTATTGATGCACGGAGCTCTCTAAATATCTTCTGGAGGAGGCGGTGCTTTGGCACAGGTCCAGAACCTTTACCGAAAACACCCATCAGCTTGCATCTCCAGCTCTCTTGTGATTAGATGATTGAGGACGATTTTCCGGACAGCTTCATGTCTCTGTGTGTTACCGTACCCGTGTTGGTTTGGAACAGATGCAACACACAAAAGGTTCCGATTGTATAAAAAGAGTGTGGTTCACAAAGGATGTTTACGACAACCAAAGTTTCCCTCAACGAAGTGAAAACGTTTGCGTGCTGCAAGATCGAAAAACGATGTGAGAGGCTACCTGGTCACCACAAACGACATGATGAAGGAATAGTAACTATTCTGGCAATAGTTGCTATACACACTATGTGATTCCTTTGTTTCGCATTTCTCTCATCTTTTGACTCAGATGTGACAGAAGCACTCATTGAAGCCCTGGACAGTGAAGGAGTCCCTACTCAGTACGTAAAGAGTTTTCGTCGGCTTTATGGAAATTTTACATCGATGATATCACCATTCTGCAGCGATATCAACATCGACGTCAAAAGAGGGCTTAGTCAAGGCGACACCATCTCGCCAAAATTTCTTCTTACGACCCTCGATCATTTAGTGCGATCATTGGAATGGAGCAACATGAGAGTGAGAACCGATGTTCGGCAATTAAATCACCTTCGATTTGCCGACGAAATTGTTCTTACAACACCAAACATGAGCTAAGCGAAAAATGTGCTTACCGGCTTCGATAACGCTTGCGGAAAATTTAATCATTGTCAAATCTCATAAAAACAATGTTAATGAGAAACAGATTGGCTACGTATGCTTCATTCACGCTCAACTGAACTGAACTAAGCTTGAACTACATGAATATCACCGAATGCTCCAGTTATGTCTATCTAGATCGGAAAATCAACATGCTGAATGAATTCGCTCTAGGGTGGAGCAGAAGCGAACGAGCGGTTTGGGAAGCTTTCAAGGGCATCGAGGATGTAGTGAAGAGAACAAAGAACACCCCACTCGGTGCCCACCTTTTCGACTCGACGGTACTTTTTGCCCTAACGTACGAGTCGCGTCAGAAACCTGGTCGCTGCGTAAGCAGGATGAAAGGTCACTCAGTGTTATTGAACGCGCAGCAGAAGGGACGATGTTAGGAGTATTCTTTCTTTGATGAGCTTACACGAGGTTGATAATGATATTTATGTGTCGCTTTCTTGTTCAGCAATCGCGAGGTTTTTAAACAGCATACATTTACTTCCATAAAAAGCACAATACAATACAACGCTAGCTGACGTTTCGGCAGTATCGCCTTCTTCAGAGCCTGGAAGGGTATGCTGATATACAATCTACTAGGCCAAACGCTTCAATAACACTTACAAAAAGGCGAAAGACTCCTTGGTAATTACATGATCAACAGCTTCCCGAAAAACTCACCGCTTTTTTCGTGACCTCCAAACAGCTGATTATAGTCGCATGTGGTTGACGACTGCACCATCTCACATCAAAAATCGATGCGAACGCACGGGATCAGGTCGCGTATGACCTCGGGGCATTCATCCCTGCTATTCATTGTAGGGTTTTTGGCATTGATCCAAAAAGCCTCAAGGAGTTTTCGCGCTGGTGTTTTGGACTCCTGTGTGAAACAACAAGTTGCGGTTACGAACTAGCTGGCGCTTAAGATTACTTGGTGGTATTTCAACTACGCTTACCGAATTCTCTAAACCCGCCCTTCTTAAGCAGCGTTTTATAGCTGTACTTATATCATTTGAGATGAAGGGTAGGATAAACGAAACCCTTCTATCGCTAGAGTTGTTGTTTGGAGGCCTAGGATTTCCCCTACACCTATCCTGAGCTACAGTTTCGTAGCCATTAGAAATGGATATTTGCCGTGCCAAGTTCCGGAATCCTCTCTCTGCTCTCTTCCCGTACACACGTTGGTTGCTGTTCGAAACATGTTTCTTACAAGCGCCCTTTTCGTGTGAGAGGGGTGGGAGGAGAGGTAATGAACAAAGATGTTTTCACTAATTGGCTTTCGGTACCACTTTGTAATGTAGCCATTTTCTGACAGGTGAATTTGTACGTTCAGGAACGGAAGCCATTTTTCTTTCGGCTTTTCTCGGGTGAACTTGATATACTCTGACTGTGCATTTAATAACTCGAAACATTTGTCCATTTCCTCTTGTGTTGAGCAAAGGTTGAGTTGGCAGGTTGAGTTTGCATATAGGAGGGTTGGCAATGGGACAATGACTGGCTCCAAGCCTTGCCATTGTATTTATGTCTAAGGTGGAAGCACCGGTGATTGATCACGGGCCGCTACTGTACTGTAGATATATAGGCGACTGTTTTGTCCTTTGCTCAAAACAAGAGGAAATGTACAAATGTTTCGAGTTGTTAAATGCACAGTCAGAGTATATCAAGCTCACCCGATAAAAGCCGAAAGAAAAATGGCTTCCATTCTTGAACGTACAAATTCACCTGTCAGAAAATGGCTACATTACAAAGTGGTACCGAAAGCCAATTAGTGAAAACATCTTTGTTCATTACCTCTCCTCTCACCCCTCTCACACGAAAAGGGCGCTTGTAAGAAACATGTTTCGAACAGCAACCAACGTGTGTACGGGAAGAGAGCAGAGAGAGGATTCCCGAACTTGGCGCGGCAAATATCCATTTCTAATGGCTACGAAACTGTAGCTCAGGATAGGTGTAGGGGAAATCCTTGGCCTCCAAACAACAACTCTAACGATAGAAGGGTTTTGTTTATCCTACCCTTCATCTCAAATGATATAAGTACAGCTATAAAACGCTGCTTAAGAAGGGCGGGTTTAGAGAATTCGGTAAGCGTAGTTGAAATACCACCAAGTAATCTTAAGCGCCAGCTAGTTCGTAACCGCCTATATGACCTTCTATGCGCAACTCAAAATTGCATAATTTGCCCCAGTGGTAGAGACGGTGATGGCATGAGCTAGGGTACAGTTTATCAGATCTCCTGCAAGGCGTGCGGAGACGAATAGATTGGCGAAACAGGCAGACCACTCTGCGATAGATGCCAGAAAGCACATATTTTCTAGAATTTTGTGGAGAATTTGCTCCATTGTCTTAACGATTTATCGAGCTTCACGCACGACGAAGTGTTAATTAGTCGGAAACCTGAACTGCCACATTATCTCATAGGTGATTTTCGTTTTACTAATCGAGCACGAGGTTTCTATTGTTGAGCATTGCCAAATCATATTTATCGAAAATTACAAGGAAAAACGCATTAATTATTTTCCTAATTAACAGTTTTAAAATGAATAATTAATTAACACATATGTCATTTTCGTCCGTACAATTGTTAAACCTCTACTGCGAGCGTTGCAAAACTAAATCACTTATGCAGACCTTGGTAGTGGTGGGACTAATCATTCAAACGAATTCAAACATTTTTCAAAGTACTCTGGCAATGGAAACGCCTAATTTGGTCGAGTTCCTCTTCTTGCGAGTTTTTTTGTGAGTTTTGGAAAATGACCTGGGGCAGGTGACCGTCCCGTTAACACTATCTGCTTTCTGGAGACGAAAGCTTTCGATGAAACTTCTTGCTAATTGCGCCACCAGCCTGAAAAATTTTAAAAGCGATAAAAATTTTATGTGAACTGTTTCGCAGTTTACTTAGATAAAAGAAACTAAAGTCTACTTATGCAATCTGTTTCGATCACGCTTATAGAGAGTTGGGAGGCAACAAATCATCACACTGAAATTTATGCGTACTCTGCAATTTGATTTTGCAGATAGTTCAGGTCGCTTATGACCTCTAGGATATTCCTACCTGCTATTCATTGTAAGATTTTTGGCATTTATCCAAAAAGCCTCAAGAAGTTTGCTCGCAGGCGTTTTAGTCTCCTGTGCGAGAACATTGACTTTTACTTCAAAATCGTCCCCGCTATGCTTTTGTATCCTATGTGTGCCTAGTGGGGCACTTCGTCTTAGTTTTCGTCTGCCATCTAGGTGTTCTTTTATACGGATACACAAAGGTCTGCCCGTTTCGCCAATATATTCATTTTCGCAATTATTACAAGAGATCAGGTATATCGTACCTGAACTCATGCAATCACCGTCCCTGCCGTAAGAGCAAATTACGGAATTTGTTGTTTCACACAGGAGTCCAAAACACCAGCGCGAAAACTCCTTGAGGCTTTTTGGAACAATGCCAAAAACCCTACAATGAATAGCAGGGATGAATGCCCGGAGGTCATACGCGACCTGATCCCCTGTGTTCGCATCCATTTTTGATGTGGGATGGTGCAGTCGTCAACCACATGCGACTATAATCAGCTGTTCTAAACTTCCTCATTAGAAGTCACGAAAAAGCGGTGGGTTTTTTTTCGAGAAGTTGTTGATCATGTAATTACCAAGGAGTCTTTCGTCATTTTGTAAGTGTTATTGAAGCGTTTGGCCTAGTAGATTGTATATCAGTATACCCTTCCAGGCTCTGAAGAAGACGTTACTGCCGAAACGTCAGATAGTGTTGTATTGTATTGCGTTTTCTATGGAAGTAAATGTATGCTGTTTAAAAACCTCGCGATTGCTGAACAAGAAAAGGACACATTCATATTCTAATGCCGAGGTTAAGAGAAAGTCAATCCTGGGAACCATTACAATGATATTTATTTTCGGCTAACGTTTCGACGTCTTCGTTTTCCTCATAACCGTGATCCAAGTTGAAGGTCCTTGCTTGTTATTCGTCTCGACGTGGCAACTTCGACTTCGTGTCGAGTCAGGTCTTTCTCAGTGAGCCATCTCCTCGAATGAGGCATCCTCACTCAGTGATGCCCTTTTTTACACGATACTGTTGGTCGATATAATGATAATGTCCGGTGATAACAACTTGAGATGTTAGGAGTATCCCGTTTCACACAAGTGAGGGAAGGAAACCGGAACTCCGACCTACGTCGACGATCAAAAGTCGAAAGTGCTGTTCTATACGCCAAAGTGTCGAAGATAAGGTGAGCCGGCCACTTATTGCGTTTTAACTACAACCGATGAACAAGAGCCGTTAGTAAGTGGATTTCACGGGATGTCAAACCTACTGCAGGAAGACCACTGGCCTGAAGGTCAGAATTCTTCACGAAAACCTTAAAATGAATTTATGATGCTCAACAAGTCCTTAGAACGGAAAGAAGATTTAGTGGCACCCATTCGAGACACTCGACGATCAGCTGGCCTCCAGGTCATACAGGTGATTGCTGATTGAACAGTGTTTACTTGTAGTTCATAGACACCCGAATACGTCTTTGCCTTGTAAAAAGGACATCTTGGCTCGTAATGAACTGAATAAAAATTGACGATATTTAGAGATCTTCGCCAAAATGGCACGACATTTCTTATCCTACCCAGATAAAAGTAGGATTTCTTTCTTTAGTCTAAATTTAACTAAATTTGCAATAAAAATCAAAGTTTGGAAAGGCCATTACTTTTCTTAGGAATGACAGATCTTTTTCTGACTATGTCTGTTGTTAACTTCGTAGGTGTTTTCTAGTCGGATTTCAACTTGTATATTCATGACGGAATATTTCAGCTAGGAATAAACTTTATTGATCGAAACAAAGGCCATTCAAATCTTCACATGTTTCTAATGAGAAATATCCTTATAAATTCTAGTTACAAAAAAATCTGAACTTATGGAAGCGATAAATTCGCTGAAAGCAATTTGGACCTCCCATTGGTTTCGGGAACATTATTTGCACAGAAATCTTCCGGAGTGCTTGAAGAAGTCGAACTCGATTGGCGATAGGTCTGACACTTATGGTGTATGACACGCAGTTTCGTAGTCTGGCTTGTTCAACATCTGCTACGTTACTGATGAAATTTGGCCACATGGTCATCATGAAGAAGGATTGCACACTTTGTATTTGCCAACGAGAATGTATCCATTGTTTTTGATGCATGAATTCTCCGCATGAATAAGCTAGCACGAGGTTGTTATAATCGTTATAAAACTTTTATCCGGCTAGCGTTTCGGCGCCTTCGTCTCCCTCAAGACGACATCGACTTGATGATTACACAGGTGGATGCAGCAAAACATGCTTTATAACCGTATGATTTTCTCACTCCATAAGGATTGTAACTTCCAAAAAATTGCAGCTCATGGTAGAAAAAAAGCTGCATTGCCAAACGT